CTTTGAGGCCTATAATAATTTGGTCAGAGGGACATAAAGGACAGTTTTTCTCCTTCCCCTCCTAAGATGACTAGTTCCAGGGGACTATGAGCATCTCTCAAAATGTCCTGTAATTGTGGTGGGTCACCTGGTCCTCTTGATCAAGGAGGCCAAGGAGACACCACAATATGGACTTGAACCAGTGTCCAGTCTACAAAGATGGTAAACACAGAGGAATCATTTCCTCCAAGCTTCTAAGCAAAGCCAACCATGATCGAGTAGGACCTTTGACTTATTTTCACAAAGGTGGAACTGGTAAAAGAAAGGAGCCAGGGGCTCCTCCAAAGCCCATGTGACCCCTGAGGAACAGATCCTCAAACGACCTTAAAAGTAAAAATAAATTGGTTTATCTGGGCCAACTGTATGGCCTTAAACACCCAAAAGGAAAGTATAACCAAAGATTAAAGGGGCCAATATAATTTTTTAAGAGTCCATATGTATAGCTAAAGGCTACCTAACAAGCAACAATGCCAGATAGGAGATACCTTCTTTTGAGTTCTTGGTCAGGGTTGCCAAAGGGACTACCAGATAGTAACCCAAGCATAGAACTAGGAAAATAAAAAGCAGACCCTAATCTTATCTGAAGGAAAATTGACAACTGATTGCTGCTAGATGAGGAACAGCTTACCCTCCTAAAACAAAGACGTCTAGATAGGCTGACTAGATTCACCAGATGGATAAGTAGTGGGGAATGGCTGGGGGTGCCAACATAGCAGACAGTAGCAGGGATATCAGAGTATAAGGACTGTAGTGGGGGGAGGGAGGCTATGGGAGGATGCCATCTGGGAAGTGGGTATATAGTTGAGCAAGATGGTTTGGGATGTTCTGTGTGACACACACACACACATGCACACAAATCAACAAATTTTTAAAAAGGTATTATATTTGAGGAGGAAGCATGGGACACTTATGCCATGTTAATTAGTAGAGGTGATAAACATTACCAGTGAAATCTACCCGATGACTTTATAGACATACATAGGTGCCAAGGATCCAAGTGCAACCGATTATGACTCGTAATAATTGGATACATACAGATTAAGAGATGCATGTGCCAACATCTCAGTGTTAGTAGCAAACACAATGAGTCTTTCTGCAAGGAACAATATATTCTAAAATGAAATGGAGATCTTTTTTTAAAGGTTAAAAACTCATTCAATTTTATGTCTTACAGGGATTATACTGAGTTCAATATTGTATGACTGTATTAACTCAACTGTGAACCTAGAAACTTGAACCCACTTGTGAAAGTGATGTACTCTTGCTCTGGAGTATGTTACTGAATATGTTAAAGTTGTAATGAAATGCTTCTTCTAATCATGTAGTTATTAAAGTTTTTTTTAAAAGATTAAAAAAAAAAAAGAAATAAAAATGAGTTTTCCTAGGACTGCATTCCCACAATTAAGGCAACAACATGTAGAAGTTGGAGATGTAAATGGAGATTTTCAGCACCAGTGTTCACCTGACCTTAAAGGAAGTCAGACTGTGGACATCCCCACTGCTCATTTCCTCACTTCCTTCAGGGGAGCTCCCCAATAACACTATTAGCGCTGCAAACTCTGCCACCACATGTTCTTCCTTTAACATTTCTTCACACTGCTCATCACCATCTAGCCCTCAGACTGTTTATCTTATCTGTTCCAGGGAAATGTAAGCTCAGTGAAGGCAGGTGTATGTCTAGCTCAGGCACTGTATTTTTCACAGTTAAAATAATGTTTAGAATGTAGTAAGTGTTAAAGTAAAAATTTCCTCAAGATCAAAAAACTATTGGGTAGAAGATACATTTTTCCCCCCCAGAACTGCTCTACTTTTTCACTCGTTTAACAGTAATTAGAGTGCCTACCACATACCACAAGCACTCATCTCAGCACCTAAGATACATCAGTGAAAAAAAACAGAAAGAAAGCTGCTGCTGAGAGGAAGCAGTCAGAGTGACGGACACTGGCAATGCTGGTGGGTCGATGGAGGCTTTGTGACCAAAGTGTACAGATCAGGCTTCACTGTGCAGCTCAGAATTAAGCAAAGACTTGGAAGTGAAGGATGGTCATGCCGAGTTTTTCAGGAAGAACATTCATAAGCAGCACAACAGTCCTAAATAGACCTGATTAGCATATTTGAAACCAGCACTGAAGCCAGGGTATCTGTTCTGGAGGAAGCAAATGACAGAACAGTAAACACTGGGGCTGGAGAAAGAAAAAGAAGCAGTCATGAAGCGAGGGTTACTGCTCATGCTGGGTGGTGAAAGCCTACTAAGAGCCAGGGCCTCTACTCTGCATGAAATGGAGAGCACTGTACCATTTGAAAACAAGCTAGTCTGATCTGGCATTTAAAACAGGTCAAAGAGCAAATTATACAATGTTGGACAAGGCAAGAAGTTGTGTATTAAACTCCTCAAAATGTGTGGAATCTACATATTAAACAGTATTCTAAAAAAGAGTATTCAAGAAGTCCCCTGAAGCCCTGCTGACTTGCCAAGTCAACAACAGCTATTAGGGGCCCTCAGCAATGCCACACATTAGCTTTCTGTTTTATGCAAACAAAAAATTGTAAGCCTTAATTTTTCTCATTTTAAAAGTGAGAATAACAACAATTTTGGAATTGTTGCATAACCTCTTAATACTGTTTTCTCTGTCACAACCGGAAGGACAGATTAATATGTGATTTCTGATATATTCCCTCAGGTATGCAACAACGTAATTTCACCAATTATATCTGAAGTCCTAAACTAAGCTTGCTATTATAAATTTTTTAAAAAATATTTTATTGCCAGACTTGGTGGCACACACCTTTAATCCCAGCACTCGGGAGGCAGAGGCAGGCAGAAATCTGTGAGTTCAAGGCCAGCTGGGTCTACACAGTGAGTTCCAGGACAGCTGGGGCTACAGGGAGACCCTGTCTCAACGCCCCCCCCCCATTTTTTTTATTATTTTCATGTGTATGAGTGTATTGTTTGCATATATGTTACGTGTACCTGTGCTGTGCAGTGCCCACAGAGGTCAGAAGAGGGTGTAGGATCCCCTGAACTTTGTTACAGACAGTTGTTAGCCACCATGTGGTTGCTGAGAATTGAACCCAGGTTCTCTGCAAGAGCAGCAAGTGCTCTTAACCACTAAGCCATCTCTCCAGCCCCAAGCTTGCTACTTTCTCCCAAACTGACAGAGATACCTGTATCTCCCAAGAAGCTACTCTTCCTGATCTGATCCTCTGTATTTCTTAATCATATTTACTAATTTGTTTTTGTTTATCCCCCAAGACATGGGCCTTCATGTGTACTTAAAACATATATCAGGGTTTCCTTGGCCAACAACGTTTTGTTACAGAGCTTATTGTTGACACTGTGTGGGGTTATGTTTAATGTGAAGTTTTTGTCAACATTTTAAAAATGTTATTGTGGGGACATCCCTTCTTTGTCCCCTTTCAACATCTGGATTGGTGACTAGGTCAGAAGATCTGGAATCAAGCAGCAGCTATTCACTGTGATTAGAACATCTGTACTCTCTCCCCATCTATCAACCACCATTTTATACTGGGTTAAAGTTCTTCATGTGCATTTTTTTATATGGCCTTATACACAACATTTTTATGTCTGTCCTATTTTATGTGCTTCAAATCATCGTAAGATTTTTTTTTACTATGTGTATTGTTCTTCCTTTATCATGAATAAATAGGCATTGTGTTTTTCTCCCACTATGCACATTTTGCACTAAATAATAATGCTCAAGGGTAAAAGACATTTCTGTAACATCAAATTGCTATTATTAAGTGACAGAAACTTTCTCCCACTGGCCTTCCTGTGTTAATTAAACAATTCTGTACTCTGGAAAAACAATTTGAGGCACTTTCAAATGCTTCTTTCTGTTCTAATTCTCACTGCCCGCGGGGAAAACTGCAGCTTACCACTACAAGTCCTGTTATCGGCATTCAGAGAGTAGTGGGCAGGGCATCCACACACAAAACCTCCAACTGGCACAGCTAGACAGAGGTGGGAGCAGTGCCCATTGCTGGAGGCACATTCATTCCACCCTGCCTGCCGAGAGGAGTGAAAGACAAGGATGTCCATCACATAATCCAAATGGCCCTGGATGATAGTGCGGTTTTGGCCACTGGTTTTGTTGGCACGTTCAATGCTGCGTCGGCTCCAGTCCGTCCAGTAGATGTAATCTTGGTATTGAGTTAAGCCAAAAGGATGAGGCAAGTCATCTGCTATAACTTCACGGTTGAGTCCTATTTTCGGAAAGTCAGTAGACAGGAGAGAGATGAAATATGTGAAGACACAAGTGCCTTTTTGGCCAAAAAAAAATATTAAAATACATGAAACATTACATTTGTAAGCAACGTAAATAGAACAGTTCCTTTGAAAGCAATTCTAAACCAGATTAGGCCTCTGAGGTCAATCCATCTGTAGTCTGACCTCATGTGTCAAACACATCCCTGCTATAAATCATTAAGGTTGTTTAAACTCCTTTGGCCTATTTTGATTATGGTTTTATTTTCTCTCCAAGATGGCTTACAGTTCAGCATTTTTTCTTCCTTCCACAAAAAGATATGAGGGGAAAATATATCTGTATCTTACTGGTACAAAGAATATCACTTCAGGGGCTAGATAGATGGCACAGCGGTTAAGAACACTAGCTGTTCTTGCAGAAGACCCAGGTTCGAATCCCAGAACCCACATGGCAGCTAACAACTGTCGGTAATTCCAGTTCCAGGGGTCCAACATCCTCTTCTGTCCTCCACGGGCACTGCATGACATGGGTGTACTTACCTACATGCAGGCAATATACGCATACACATAAAATTTAAAAAATATATTTTAAAAAAGTATCACTTCAAGAATATTACTTCATAAATACCACTACAAATTCAATAATGACATCTGCAAACTGAATAACCGAATCCAAGTCACTGGATTACTGTTAATAAACAGGATACAATTCCACAGCAAAAGCAGCTAGCCTGTGGAATGATGCTTCTTTAATAGTATCGAAGCAACAGTGAGACCAGCCATGACTTTGCATCAATGTACTCTCTGGATAAACAGCAGCGATGCTTACCAAGCATATTTGAAGATTCTATTAAGTTGGTGTCCAGGTCTGTCCAGTAAAGCCTCCTTTTAGCATAATCGATAGTTAGGCCATTTGCTCGCCCCACATTTGGAACTAACGTGGTACGCTCACTTCCATCCATAGCAGCTCTGTCAATCTTTGGTTTTCCACCCCATTCAGTCCAATACATAAATCTGGATTCACAACAGAAATTTAACATTTCACATGTGATTTCTGGAGAAAAGGGTCATAATCATTCATGCATAGTGACTAAATAAAATGTATAGAAACTCAAGTAAATAGGTAAAACTAAGTCATAGCTACAATTCTTCCAATTATTTAGTCACTTCCAACTAACTATATTTTCTTGCATTCCAAAGCAATGGAAACCAGTTCTCTCTCCTGTTTTTCCAATGAATTTCTTCCACCCAGACCTAGGAACTGGAAACAAACCAATGATTAAGAAATTGCACAAGCATTTATAAAACTAGTAGTCAAGAAAAGGATTATAAAGTTCTGGTCTAAGAACCTGGTCCACATCTGGCTAATATATCTCTGTATTTCCAAATACAAGTAGCTTAAAAACTTTAAATGTTAAATTTACCTTCCAATGTACACTCATCTTTCTTAAAAAACAAGCTGCAAGAGTATACTAATGTGAAAATAAACAGAGGCCCTTAAAATGCTGACATCAAAAGCAAAGCCTGAAAATATATTTGGTTATACAGTCCAAAGGAACACACTACACATACAAGCATAATGCATCACCCTAGTGTGCTGGCTGAGCAGTGAACACAACTAAGACCCTTAGGAAATCTTTAAGAATTCTTTTGTTTACATTTTCCTTTTTTGAGGTGTTTACTTTCATCTTAGAGTTCCCCTACAGGGGGCCAAAGCACTAAAAGAAGTGTAAAAGATCCCTCTCATGTTTCTAAGCCAGTTAAATGGCATAGCTAGAACTAGAACCTAATCCTTAGTCAAATGCCATTCCAGATAAACTATAAGGTGCTAGTTTTCTCTAGATTAGCCCCAGGAAATCACTCTACATTACCAGCTCTCATGAAATATAAAAGGACATTCACTCAACATTCTGTCAACTGACGGTTCACTTGGTAGCGATGTATAAATATGTTTTCTGAAAATTAAAGCTGTCCTAGGCTTTGTTTGCATTTGCTCTTGTCAGTTGAGAGCCATGTACACACCATTAAGGGCCAAAGAGAAACAACTGTGAGAGAAATTTTAAACTTGCCAGCAGCAACCTATACCAGACTTCCTAGCTCCAGCTACTAAATTTATCTGACCAGCAACTAATGCTTAGAGCAAAGATAACCATGATCCCACCATAATGTCTGTACAGAGAAGCTGTTCTTCACATAGCCTCCTAACCAGATGAACAAGATCATTGTGAATTTAGTGTGAGAATTTCCTAGCAACTCTTTTTAATTTTCAGATGTCTTAGCTGCTATGTGAAACATGCTGATTCTTGTAATAAGGACCACCTAACCCTGAAAACATCATTCTGTAAATAAGCAGGTTAGTCTATTGCATAATACCACACTCTTCCAAGTTTATAATGATTGTACTAACTGCCCACTTTAAATGAATGGATACCACAAAATGGAGTGTTTTTGTGGAAGGCCTTGGGTTTGATCACCAGCACCATACATACATATATGCATACACATACACATAAAATGAACTGTCCTTTTCGAAATACACAGTAGTATAACACTTCCCTATGGGGGACACAGTCTAAGACACCCCCGTATGTCTGAAACTATGATAGCAACAAACCCTGTATCAATTTTTTTTTCCCCTATATTCACCTATGATAAAGTTTAATTTAAATTTGGCCCAATGAAAAATTAACAAATAATAAAATAGGAAAAAGTATATAGCATAATAAAAGTTAATGATATGACAGAATTAACTTTTAGCTAACAACATTAACCAGTGAAATCTTAATTAATGATTTTGTTTTCATTTTTGAGATGGGGTCTCACTCTGCAGCCCAAGTTGGCTTGGAAATCATTATGTAGCTGAGGCTGGCGTTGAACGTTCAGCAAAATTCCTGTCTGCATGAGACATGAGCCACTATGCTCAGCAGTGATTGGTGGTTTTTTTTTTTTTGGTCTTTTTGAGTCAGGGTCTCCTTGTAGCCCCAGCTTTCCTGGAACTCACTATGTAGACCAGGCTGGCCTCAAACTCACAATGATCCACTTGCCTCTGCCTCCCAGGTGCTGGAATTAAAGGCGTGCGCCACCCCACCTGGCAATGTAGCTTTCCTAGCCTTTATTTGTCATATTACTAATTCCATTATTTAAGACATCAAGATATAATCCAAAACCGGGCCATGGTCCTCAAAATGTAGAATGCAGTTGTAAAGAATGCATACAAAAAGCTACTTACCCTTCAGCAGGGTCCAATGCGAGAGCTCGGGGACTGTCAAGGTCTTTCCATACCAAAACCTGCCGGTGCTGTCCATCCAACTTTGACACCTCAATGCGATTTGTTCCTGTGTCTGCCCAGTACAAGTTCTTCCCAAGCCAATCCACTGCCATGCCTTCTGGATAATCTAAGCCAAACTCGACTACATGTTCCAGTGCACTTCCATTCATAAAGGCTCTGCTGATAGTCTGTAAAAATAAAATGTGCAACTAAGTCACATGGCTTAAGTATAAAACATTATCAAAAAAGTCTGGATTTTGTTGGTGGTACAAATATGCAGAAATGTTAAGCACAGAATTTCCTAATAAAATTCACATGACTTATAAGTACACAAAAATGTGACAATCTCTAATAAATGCAACAGCATTGTTGCCACTTCAAGGGAAATTTGTGAAATGGTGAATAATCAAATTATTTTCTTACTAAGGCAGTAGAATGAGATGCTTTTTTTTTTTTTTGAGGTGTGGACGGTGGGGACAGTGTATACATGGGAGTGTGCACATATGCAGAGGACAGAGGAGAACACTAGGTATCTCCCTCTATCATTCCCTACCTTATTCCTTTTAGGTCTCATTGAATCAGAAGCTCAGTTTCAGCTAGGTTGGCCAGCCAGCCAGCTCTTGAGATCTGCCCGTCTCTGTCTCCCAACACTGGGGTTACAGGCATGTGGAGCCACACCCAGGTTTTTACATGGGTGCTGGAGATTTGAACTCGGGCCTTTATGCGTACAGAGCAATGCTCTTACCCATAATAGGTTGGTCTTTTTTTTTTTAGACAGGGTCTTCCTGTAGCCCCAACTGGCCTGGAACTCCCTATGTAGACCAGGCTGGTCTCGATCTCACAGAGATTTACCTGCCTCTGCCTCCTGAGTGCTGGAATGAAAGCATGTATGTGCCACCACACCTGGGTCCCAGAGTGAGTTTTCTTTTAAAAAATATAGGTAATCAGCCGGGCGTGGTGGTGCATGCCTTTAAGCCCAGCACTCGGGAGGCAGAGGCAGGCAGATCTCTGTGAGTTCAAGGCCAGCCTGGTCTATATAGTGAGTTCCAGAACAGCTGGGGCTACAGGGAGACCCTGTCTCAAAAAGACCAAAAAAAAAAAAAAACCAAAACCCCCCAACAACAATAACAACAAAAAACCATTTTCTATTATCACCACTATAACTATGAACTCCATAAACTTTTAAAAAACCATAATAAACTAACAGATGCTATTTCTTGTCAAGTTATGTCCCAGGTAATTCATATCCATCAATTTTCTTTAATACAAAAGCCCCATAAGACAGTAGTCCACTCAGCAAAGGGCAAGATTTATTTATTTTCTTCTTTGATTTTACTGAACATTATTAGAATCCAATTGTCTGTTCTTTGCAAATTAGAAGTTTACAAAAGTCAGCTGAATCAGGGCCACAATCTGAAAGAAAGACTACTCTCCAGGTTTTCTGCTCAATATCCTCTTGTTATCTCATTCTGTTTCTCAATATTAATTCCAGGAAAAAGAAGACAAAAGGATGCTCTAATTCAGTTGACATGTTCCACTACAGTAAGCCTCAATGTGGGAAACATAATTCAAGCTCTCCTTTGCCATCCCCATTATAACAGCCCAATTTCTTTGCTAACCTTGAGTGATATATCAGTCCAGTAAATCCGATTGTCTGTGACATCAAAATCCAAAGCAGAAGCTTCTTTGACACCAGTGAGAGGAATGGCCACATTATTATTGTTTGTTTCCAGAGATATCCGTCTGATATCTGCTCTCCGGGAAAAGAGAAGAAAAGCCTCCGGGACAATGCAGGTCTTCATGTCACTGATGAGTTCAAAGCCAATGGGACAGGCACAGCGAAGACCCTGAGGTCTATAGAGGCAAAGATGGCTACACCCCCCATTTTCCTCAGCACAAGGGTTAGAACCTAAAAGGAAATTTTGTGATAAAGGGCATATAAAAACACAGTGACACATTCAACACATCTTCACTTTTCAAGACATAATTGGTTCATGAAGACCTATGATGATGTTGCCCTTGATCTACTTTCAATTCTATTCTCACAAATAAGCAATATCAGGATTAACCAGGAGTAAATGTATGGCAAAATGCTTTACACCCACAGTAGCTTTAAAATAAGGGCATTGTTCACACAATAGGTCTGAGTTCTTCTGAAGAAGGTGAGTGCCTATTATGGGTATATATTTAGCAAGTCAACTGTGAAGTCAGAATACTAGGCCAACACAGACATTAAAGCTGATTTTACATTGTTTCAAACATCAATAATTTACCCCTATGTTTTAGAAGATGCTGTCTTACTCCATCTTTTCTAGTTCCCAGTTTTCCTTTCTAAGAGCGTCTAGAATAACTTACCAATGACTCGATGAACATTTGTGGCCTTGAGCCCCATGAGGTCAGGCAGCTGGTCTATGATGATCTCCCTCTCTGCACTTCGCTTGTGCACCCTTTCGATACTACGCCTCTGCCAATCAGTCCAGTAAACATAGTCACCCAACAAGGTAAACCCAAATATGTGAGGAATTTTGTCTTCCACCAGTACTCGTCTCCCAGTGCCATCAGTATTCATAACCTTCAAGTTCAAGTAGGAAGAGAAGGGAGAGGATTAAGTTGGTCCTTATCCTTAAAATGGAAACTCCAGCAGCCCACTGCATCAAAATCTAAGCCTTCATAGTTACTGCTGGTGTAATGCCTTCACAATTACATGATTTAAAGAGAATTATTTCAAATATTCATCATAAGTTCCTACTTGATCTCTTTTTCTCTAATATCTTTCTATTCTTCCTTTTAAAAATTCTGGTAACTTCAGATTTAGTATGCAACTCTTCCATTAAATGACAAATATTATCATTACCTTAAGTTTGCATATTTTTTTCAAATTATAGTTCACGAATACACTGTTATGTATTTTGTTTTAGAACATTTTATTTCATCCTGAGGAGCCTACCCTTTTTTGCTCTAAGGAAACTAAGAGTCATAGGACTTCACACAGCTTATAAACTGAGTTGAAGTTTTTATTATTTAAACAACTACCACCAAAAATGTAATAGATAAGGTAGCTCAGTTAATCACTCTTTTGAGGTCCTTATCATAATAGCACTATATCTGTAGTCTATGGTACCCTGTGTGCCAACACATTTTAAGAAACAAGGATGTGACTAATCTTCCCAGTTCCCAAGAGCAATACTATTAAATCCAGACACTCATTTGTATCAATACATACTAATCTTGTTTGAAAGATGGAGAAAGTCTCCTGATGTTTTAAGTCCCTAAGATTATTGTTACCATTCTAAATGGTCAGTATGCTAGGCAAATCAGTCTTCAGAAATTTTATTTTGGTATTAAACATATGAACATATACACAATACCCCTACATACCCCCAAAAGGCATCAGATATAATCTTATATGCAAATATTAACTTTTGAATCCATAAACTCAATAAAAAATATTTCAAGAAAGGGACTGAGGATATGGTTCAGTTGGTAGAGTTCTTGTCTACCATGTAGGAAAACCTGAGCTCAATCCCTAGGTATTGCATAAAATGAGGCATGATGGTACAGGCCTTTAAGCCCAGCACTTGGGAGGTAGATGCAGGAGGATAAGACATTCAAGGTCATCCTAAGGTTACACAAGTTTGAGGCCAGCCAGAGTATGATACAGTATGATACAAGAAATTCTGACTTTTAAAAATAAACAAAGAAAAAAAGGAGGGAGGGGGAGGAGGGGGAGGAGGAGGAGGAGGAGGGAGGGGGGGGTGTTCCAAGCAGGTCAATACTGTGACTGTCTAGATGGGCAACCAGACATTATATTATCTTTTATCTTTCCTCTCTAAAATTTCAAGTACCTTTGCAGAATTTCTATCAAAGAAGCCTAGCACTGGACATTAATCAAACAAAAGTGTGCTACAGCCTTGTAATACTACAAACTTCAGTAAATGTTTTATTTATATCCGAGGAAAGAGATTATGTTAGTTGAATGTTTATCTCTTTATCAGATATGATGATACTATTAAACCAACAGCATATAAACAGAATGTTTTCCAAAGGTCAAAAATACAGTGAAACAAAAACTAAATACTATTCCACGTCCTTCATGAAATACTTTTCAAAGTTACTAGCACCTAATTTGAAGCAAGAGCTTAGATTTTTCTCATACATTTTCTTGCAATTGACCCTTCCAGGATAAATTTTAATATATAAATCATATTCTAAAGGTATTTTGATTTTATTACGTGTTTGTATGTAACATGTGGAGGCCAGAAGAAGGAATCAGATCCCCAGGAGATGGAGTTACAGGTGGTTGTGAGCTGCTGGATATGGGTGTTAGGAAACCAACTCTTGTCATCTCCAAGAGTAACAAGAGCTCTTAACCCCTGAGCCATCTCTCCAGTCCCTATTTTAGATGAAATAACAAAATAGTATTTAAAGGTAAAAGGACAAGCAGTGAAAAGAAGCCAGTTATTTCTTTCTGTAGCTAACCTGGATATGAACTCTAGTGGGACCTCTAATTCCTTCTCGAGTTACTATCCCAGAACCTACCAAAGAATTCAATAAATGTTATACGGTTTTTAATTGGGGACAAGATGAAATGAATACTTCTATCACAAATAAACCAAAGCAAGAGAAACTATCCTCCATTTGTATATCTAGCTTTTAAAAAGTTCATGTTCTCTTTTGGCCTTAATGCTTAAAGTGTTTACTTTAAAAAAATCTTGGCTTTTCCTACTATAGCATTTGAGTGTTATTCACCTATCTAAAACACACACACACACACACACACACACACACACACACAACCTACTTGAGAGAATTAGAGGGCATGAAGAAGTCACATGTAGAAACAATATAAAAACTGTTATTAATTGAGAAACATTTAATTACTGCAATGGCTATCATCTCTATAAAAAAAATGTTTCTCTCCCCTCCACAGATCTTACATACAGTTTTTACCAAGGCTCTTAGAAGCACAGTCTGTCACATACAAAGGTTCTGAATTCATGTTTTGTTTCATTTAGTTTTCTTTTTCTGAAACAGGGTCTCACAATATGGCCCAGGCCAGCCCCAAACTCAAGATTCTTCTGTTTCTCACCTCCCCAGTGTTGGGATTACAGGAGTGTCATCACACCCATCTTAAATTCACCTTTAATTCACCTTTTAAAGTATCAGTGACCACAATACTACAAGTGGGATTATGACACTCAGTAGAAATCAGCTGATAGGATTCCAAAGAAATCTTCCTAAGAATGGAAAGGTGAGCTTATTTACATAATGTTCTTACCCTCAGATCCTACAGTTTTACCACTTGAACCACAAAAGCTGTTCTCACCCAAATTTTAAATCCAGAGAGACAATGGCACACAATGGACTAAGAGAATGGACAGAGCGTTGATACCGCTCTAAAAGCAGAGATACTCAAATGCCTGGCTGTGTTCTCTTACTGCCCGCATTTTGGGTGAAAAAAAATCTTTTGTTTACTAGATATCCAAAGTGGAAAAGTATTTTAGGCAGAGGGCACTACGCTCTAGCACTGAGCTGGATTCCCAATTCTTCAACACCCTTACCAGCTTCCTCACAATCCTTCCCAGGAGCTTCAATTTCTCCCTCTCCACAAGGCTCCTTCTCTCTGCCTTTTAACATAACATTTTACAAAGCATATGTGCTGGATAGCTTTAGTGTCAACTTGACACACCTGGACTGAGGGAGCCTCAATTGGGGAATTGCCCTCATTGGACTGGCCTGTGGCCATGTCTGAAGGGCATCTTCCTGATGAATGATGTGGGAGGGCCCAGCCCACTGTGGGTGGTGCCACCCCTGGACAGGTGGTCCTGTGTTGCATAAGAAAGCAGGCTGAACAAGCCAGTAAGCAGTGTTCCTCCACGGCCTGTGCTCCAGCTCTTGCCTCCAGGTTCCTGCCCTGAGTTCCTACCTTGGGCTCCCTGATGAACTATGACCTGGGGGATGTAAGCTAAATAAACCCTTTCCTCCCCAAGTTGGTATTGGTCAGAGTATTTTGTCACAGCAATGAAGAACAAACTAGGACAGCATATATACAGACTGAACGATTCTGTACTTCCACTGTTAATTAGCCCTTATTTCACTGCCATATTATTTGAATGTGATTTGTGATAACTGCTTCACCTCTTACCACTAATCCCTTTAACTAGCTCTGAACTGGCTTCCAAGTATATGACTCAGATGAAAAATTGACTAAAATGGCCAACGGCTCTTTTCTTGCTCTCCTCAGCTCCTATGCACTTTGTCTTTTTAAACATTCAATTGGAGGGGGGGGTGTGACACACATTCTCTGCGTGGCCCCAGCTGACCTGGAACTGGCTATGTAGACCAGGTGGACCTCAATCCCAGAGTTCTGCCTGCCTCTGACTTTCAAACACTGGAATTAAAGGCATTTGCCACCACACCTGGCTGACATTCAATATTCTTAAATCACTCACTGAAACTCCACAAGGCTTCCTTGGTACAGTATGACTCTATTTCTTTTTTATATGAAGCTGATTTTGATCTCTTCATTTATGTCACTGGTTCCCCTTTACTTTTGAAACAGGGTTTCCTTGAAGCCCCAGCTGGCCTGAACTCACTATGTAGACCAGGCTGGCCTTGAACTCAGAGAGATCTGCCTGCCTCTGCCTCCCAAGTGCTGGGACTACAGGCATGCGTCACCCCCTGCCTCCCCCCCCACCCGCTCCCCTTTACTTTTTAAAACCTTGGCTGTGTATTTTGTGTATTTTTCCACATTACTAGATTTCAAAGATCCTACAAAGTCCCTCAGCTTCTGCTGTTACTTAATGTACAAAAATTACAAATCTGGGGGCTGAGGAGATGGCTCAGCAGTTAAGAACACTGGCTGCTCTTGCAAAGGACCCAGGTTCAGTTCCCAGCATCCACATGGCAGCTAACAACCTTCTGAAGCTCCAGTTCCAGGGGAATCCGATGCCCTCTTACCTCTATGGGCATTGCATGACAAGGGTACAGTTATATACATGCAGGAAACACACTCATAAAGTCATAAATAATAAATCAAGTATTTTTTAAAATGACGAATCTGGCCGGTTGCGGTGTCCCATACCTTCAGTCCCAGCACTCGGGAGGCAGAGGCAGGCAGATCTCTGTGAGTTCAAAGCCAGCCTGGTGAACATAATGAGTTCCAGGTCAGCTGGGGCTACATACAGGGAGACCCTGTCTCAAAAAGACCAAAAAATAAAAAATAAAATTACAAATCTGTTAACTTCTAGGGCTGGGGAGATGGTTCAGTTGGTAAAATGTTTACTGCACAAGCATAAGAAACCTGAGTTAGGATCCCCAGCACCCACATAAACAGCCACGTGTGGCAGAATCTCATCTGTGATCACAGTGCTGGGGAGGCAAAAACAGGTAGATCCCTGGAGCTCATGGGCTAGCCGACCTAACCTAATCAGTAAGTTCCAGGTTCAGTGAGAGACCCTGTCTCAAAAGCTACACAGTAGAAAGTGACTGAGGAAGACATCTCTGATGTCCAACCTCTGGCTTCCACATGCACATACACACATATTGCATGTACACTGACATGCACACAAA